CAGGTATTGGAGGTGGACACGCTGATGAGGGAACTAAAACCCATGGACTCCGGCGTCGGTCGCCAGTGTATCTCTTAAGGTGTCGGGGAGAGAGGTTTACTCACTGCACAGCATCGCTGGCTTCTGTCACAAATGGACTGTCAATATCAAATGCTTCCACTAAACACGTCCAGTTTAATAATCCGTTATAGCAGAGAGAGCAGAAAGACCGCACACTAATTCATCTGCTTCTGCTGTGTTTTTTGACCTCAGCCAGATATTTGCAGACTGGTGGTTAGCTAGCATTAGCTACACAGATTTGTTCAGTAGAGACTGAACAAAGTAGAATCTGAACACTGATCACATAGGGTAGGTGCACATGTGTGCTGTTTACTATTTAAATCATATTTTATGGGACTCAAGTAATGTAGCCCACTGTAGCCTGCTCAGCTGTTATCTACTGTGCATTACTTCTTTATCTGAAAGTAACCTTTTGTGAAATGTGTTGGATGCACCGATACATCCCAGAGGTTCTCAATTGGATTCAGGTCTGGAGAACATGGGGGGGCAGTCAATGGCATCAATGCCACCACAGCGTCTCCAGACTCTTTCACGTCTGTCACATGTGCTCAGTGTGAACCCGCTCTTTTCTGTGAAGAGAACGGGCACCAGCGGAGGACCTGCTGACTCCGGTGTTCTCTGGCGAATGCTAATCCAGCTGCACTTGCTGGGCTGTGAGCACAGATCCCACTAGAGGACGTCGGGCCCTCATGCCACCTTCATGGAGTCTGACAGGTTGATCAGAAACATGCACGCTAGTAGCCTGCTGGAGGTCATTTTGTAGGGATCCACCTGTTCCACCTCGCACAAAGGAGCGGATACTGACCTGCTGCTGGGTCGATGCGCCTTCTATGGTATCACCTTTGTTAGATGTATTTAAATGTTTTGGGGATTAACTCAAAGTATGTCAAGTGTACATGTTGATAGTCTTATTGGGGTAGTTAAGTATACAATTTATGATTAGACCTAAAAGATGAACATTGACCTTGTAACTAAATTATCTGTTATCTGTTACAGTTTGTGATCATAAAACTCTCTGATCTAATTCTTGGTCACATCCTGCTTAATTAACAGGCTGTGAGAAAGTCAAAGTGTTAGGCTGGGCTGTCTAGGATTCAGGAGCAGAAACAGAGTTGGAAACAGGTACAGGGGTTTTATTGAACAACAAGTAGGAATGGTGTTTTGAAATCCTCTGTGAAATTGGGACTGAGGGCGGGCAGACAGGTGAGAGGCTGGTCCAAAAAACTTCTTGGCTCAGGTAAGTTGGCTAGGCTTCCAGGAATGAAGCAGGCATTTGGAGCAGGAGCAAAAACACGCAAAGACAAACAAAGATCAAAACAAGAGATTCAAAAGGCAGACTAGGCAAAACACTCCGCTTGGGTGAACGGACAATCTGGCAGAGACTGGTTGGAAAGCCGGGGTTTAAGACAGGAGTGGAGATTGTAGAATCTGACAGAAAGTTTGAATGACTCAAAGGTCCATTTGATCTTCTACTACAGAGGATATAAATTGGTTATTTGGATGAGTCACCTAGTGAAGTTTGTGAGTCATGGGTATGTAATTCTCTGAAGCAGAAAGTGTTTTGATAAGTGCTGCACTGGGTTAAAGCAGGGATTCCCCAAGAGAGCAAGCTACAACAAAAAAGACTATGACCATCTGAAGGATCTGGCATTTAGGATGATCAACAAGAGCGGTGTGTTTCTGTTAGGGGTAGATCACTTGGTGGTGGTCACTTAAAATAGATTTTGTAAATGTTTCTTCATCACCTTGTTCAGTCATTTCTGCCCTGCTGATGTCATGGTAACGTCATGATATTCCTTGTGTCATCTGGAGTTCCACTGTTTCAGTTTTCTGTTTACTTTAACACCATGTATGAGTAAGAAAGACACTTACTTATCGTCTTACTTAATGTACTTACTGTTTTAAGTCAAGTACTTCAGTGAAAATACTTATTCTCCAGTTCAGAAAAGGGTTGACAGACACTGATTACACAATCCTTTTGAATTTGAGGTCCAGTATTTTTCGAACCAGGCATCTGACAAAAGTCTGTTTGTATTATTACACAGCAGTGACGTGGAAATTAGGCTTCTTTTATATATGCCATTATTATCATTATTCTAATGTCCTTTTTCAGGGTGACTGAATAAAATTATGAATTATGAATATGATGCGTTAATAGTCGTAAGATTAATTGACTAAACGAAAAAATAATATTTAGCTTAATCAATTTTTTAAAAGAATGGTTAGGTGAATCTGTGTATGGTTGTATTTTTGTTTATTTTTCCATTTTGGTTTTAAAACAGAAAAAAACAAAAAAGGGTTTATTTTTTTGTTTTTTCCGATTTGGTTTTGAAACGGAATAATCAAAGAACGAACCACACACGGATTTAGGTGCATCCCTAGTTTCTATAAAGACTTTCCATTAAACATGGCTGCAATACACTCTACACTTGCTGTGTCCGAAATCCCCCACTGCTCACTATATAGTAGACTATATAGTGAAAATAAAATAAAAAATAAAAAGTAAAAAAATTTAATAACAATAAATAAATTCTAAAAAAATATATATAAAAAAAGATTGGGGTCATAGTAAGGTTTAACAACAAAGACATGGGTGTGTGAAAATGGGTGTGTGTATTTAGACACGTCCGGCCTCATCCTCTATTAGCGGTGGTGGGGGTCGATCACCAAAAGGTGAAGACGGGTGTGAAACGGGGGGTTTGTGTATACGGGATGTTATCCTCTTAAAGTGGATCTTTGGGAGTGGCTTTAGCAATCAGTTGTATATATAGAGGGCTAGTTTTCTGACTTACATCTGACCGAGAGCGTGGAACAGTGTGACTGAACGATTTTTTCCGTAAATCCGTATCGGACAGAGCTATCTTTGTGCAGAACAACAGCGTTTCAAGGAAAACTTGCACAAATGTTGGGATTTATCCCCGGAGCGGCTTTTAAAACTCACGAAGGAATCTCAGCCGCGAACTAACACAGTGTTGATACAGATGCCGTATTTGGCGCCACATCCTGCCGTAGGGATGTATAATATATTTGTTTATACCGATATTGTTGATCATCAAACAGTAGGGGATAGTTACGTCCCTCTTTTAAGAATAGTACATATATCGTGGGCCAAACAACCATATGATCACAAATACTTATGACAGACCACACTATCTGGGGCTCTGCAAAACACACATTGATAGTATCGAGATTTCTCTCAAGACAGATCAGAATCAACATATCCCTTTTATGTACAGCAAAGTGGTAATAAAGCTACACTTTCGACCCGTAAAATATCAGTATTAGACAAGGAGCAAACATGTACCATCCATATGCTCACAATGTGGACAAGTACGTTCATCTTATACAGCCCAAGCGGGTGGTGATTTACCAGGATACAGCGGGCTCGGTGCTCAGTATGGTGCAGGGTTAGGGGGTATCTTTAGGGGTTTGTTTAGATTAGCATTCCCCTTATTCAAGAAAGGATTTACATTTGTTGCCCCTCATTTAAAGACAGCCGCTAAAAACATAGCTACGTTATTACTAACGTCATGAACAGACGTCAAGAGGGGTCGGGTATAGAGGCCGTGGCCCCCCGACCAATAAAACAACCTCCTGGGAAAAGAGGGAGTTCCCCACCAAAGAGGCGTGGCCGAGCAACAAATAAGAAGACCCATACTAAGAGTAGAAAAAATAAACAAGCAAGGAGAAGCAAGTCGACAAAACTTTAGAAGACAAGAGACATTTTCTAACGAGAATGTCGTTGGTACATAGCCTGTCACAATCGGAGCTAGAACTGTTTATGGTGCCGTTAACACAAACAAGTATTGAGAAATGCATCTACGTCGAATTCCCTCCTCTAGCAGCGGTATCAGACTCTGCACCCCTTGAATTTTTCATTCCAGCTAGTACAGAGGACTACCTGGATCTAAACAATACGTTTCTGTACACGTGTGTAAAAATCACCAAAGCTAACGGCGAAAACCTGGATCAAGCAGACGAAGTGGGCTCTATCAACTACCCTGGATGTACAATATTTTCACAGGTCCACATATCATTGGGGGACCTACTCATAACGCAATCATCAAACACATATCCTTACAGGGGTATAATAGAGTGCCTTTTGAAATCTATTCTTTTGCTAGTGACCAGCTTCCCAAATCAGTTATTAAAAAGAGACCCACCATGTTGGTGGTAAACACAGACCCCTCCCACCTGGGAGGACAACACTGGGTCGCTATCTATATTGACAAGCAGGGTGTGGGATCATTCTTTGACAGTTTTGGGAACTCTCCGGTATACTCACATTTTCCCGAATCCTTTTCTGTCTTTCTCAACAGTAATTGTAAGTCCATGCAACATTCTGTTAGACAAGTGCAAGATGTGGATTCTATAGTGTGCGGTCAGCATTGTGTGTTTTTTCTTTACCACATGGATAGTATGGAGCTAAAAGAGTCTCAAAAAAGATAAATGAACACACTACATTTACATATGCACACACAGGATTCATAAATACACACACAGGATACACAAATGCACACACAAAATTAAAAAGCATGGAAGATTCACAAATGCACACACAAAATCACAAATGCACACAAGATTCAGAAATACACACAAAATTCAGAAATGCAAACAAAATTTACAAATGCACACAAGATTCAGAAATGCACAGGACAAGATTCAGAAATGTATTTCGGATGCACACACAAATATATCTTGATTTACAAACTCCCTGCGGTCTGTGAACTTCTCTGCATTTGTGTGTGAATTTTGAGACTCCCCTGACTTGGCTCGACACACAAATGCCTTTTTTTAAACAGGGATTGATCTGCAACCAATCAGATATCTCCCTATTTTTAACCAATCACAAGAACGCACCCCACGTGGGGGATGGTTTACTTATAAGCCAATCGCATGAATGCGTTCACACAGCGCTATATGCATGTGTCGCGGGTTATTTTGGTGGACTTCAGATAGTTGAGACTTCAACATGGCTTCTGGCAACGACGGGGCAGCTGCAAGTCTAACTCAACATGTTCGGCTAGTTATCCCCTGTTATGAGATGTTGTTTAATTATTAATGTTAACCGGTTTAATTGTGCAACTATCAACATAAGCTAACGTTAGCGAGCTATGCTAGCGCTTCTGCATGCTAATAGGGTCAGGCTAGTAGTATCTTTCCATAAAGTTGACATTCCTGTGAATCAAGTGACTGACAAAGATTGTGTGTAGTTTTTTATTTTTTGTGTCACAGGGGTGTGTACATCTAAAATGAATGGTTTATTTTGGTCATGTTTAAGTTGTGTTATGTGACAGAAATGGATCATTCATTCATAAAAAGATCACTTTGCAACATTTAATAAAAATTTCAAACCTGACATGAAATGTTTATTTGATCCCTTGTAGACCGTGACGAGACGAGGATGAGGACGACACTGTTCCATTGGAGAAAAAGTCTTGTCACTGGATTTTTGAGAAAATTCATAGAAGGTAAAACTGTAAAGGGTCTTTATTTCCTTATTTTTCCTTCTCATCCCAAATAACACAATTGTTTCCTCATAAAGTGGTTCTTCATATTTATGTTTATGTGCATTTGTGTTTCATTTCATGTCGGAGTGAGCTGGTTTACTGTTTTATTGTCAAATGGTCATGTTTCTCTCCCTCCTTTCTATCCACTGCTGTGTGCTTCACTGCGGCACAGGGAAAGGAGAAGACATAAATGTGAATGTTTGACAGAAACGGTAAAGGCCAGCTCCCTCTGAGATGATATGAAACACAAATTCACATAAAATTGGTAAATGAAACTTCACTTTGTTTACATTCCACAGTATTTAAAGCAATCATTTGGAGGTTCTAAACTAGGAGAGGAAAAGAGACTACTTTTGAAGTGTAGCACAATCTTATATTTGTCATCTGTTTTGAAGCCCTGTCTAAACAGCAAGCATTGCTGATGGGTTATCTTTACTTGAGTATGTAAGAGTGCAATAACTGACTTTGTTGAAAAGATAATCTTATGAGAGAATCGTTACTTCATATTTTTTGAATGATCTGCTATGTAAAGTTTGTGGGGTCACAAGTACAATTTTCCTTCTCTTCCATTGCATCAACAGATGGTGCTACGTGATCTGATGAAGTTTTGGGTGGGGTGGGAACTGCCAACTAGACACCTTAATGTTACCTCAACTTGTCCAGTGGCGCTCACCTGCTTCTTCAAGTTGAAGCTCCCCAGCCACTACCAGACCTACAAGATCTTTCAGCAGGACTTGATGATGGCCCTCAGTTCCATACGTTCTGGCTTTGGACTGGTGTAGGTGCATATGTCAACTTCTTGCACTCAGTCCCACTTTTGAAATGGAATCACTTAAGAGCAATTCCTGTTAATTTATGCACCATTTACTTTGAAGTTGGTTTGGTGATTGTCTTTGGCCTATGTGCACTAGTTCTTTAGTGATTTTTTTTGACTGTACTGCTACGTTTGATGAATTTATACAAGACTTCCCAGAATTATGTTCCCTTGAACAATAAAGGTGTTACATTTAAGTAGCAAAAACAAGCATTATGGTCTTATTCTTTATGTAGCCAATTGCAATGGTGTTCTCACACTATTGGACCAATTCCAAAAATGTTTACCACCGTTACAGGGATATGGTTTTAAAAAGAAATACAGGAATTTCGTTAAAGCAATAAATCAGTCTTATTAAAATGTCTCTCCAAATTGCATGCAAAGCTCAAGTCAACATTTACTACTCTTCAGTCAACACTCCATGAATGTCAAATAACCCAGCAACCAACAAGACCCAAAGGATCTGGTGCCAAAATTCCAGTTCCAAACACTGTACAACTCCAAAGGTCCTGAATCCAAGCCCCAATTGTGTCAGTGCTGTTTTGGCAACACAAGGGGTACTGAAATAAAATATGGCAGGTTGGTTTTAATGGTGTTGCTTAAAAGCTATCTGAAAAGCTAAATGTATTTGTGTGTGAATTTTTGAGACTCCCCTGACTTGGCTCTTTTTTGAGACTCTTTTAGCTCCATAGGATAGAGGGTTATCTTATGACAATGTAATGACTAAATATAGTAATAAACGGCCATGCAATGATTTAATGCTGTGCAGATTTGTGAAAGAAATACGACCCTCGGTTGTATGTGGTCAAAATAATTGTGCAGAATGTAACCAGTGTGTCCAAGTATCAGATTCTTTTAAAGTGTATAATAATATTAGAAGTTGTGTGCCATTCATTATCAAAATGATTTATAGATTGAAACGTGTAAGACAATGTTTTTTGTTATTATGGTGATATAAATAAAAACACTTTGAAATGATAAAGTTATGTCTCTATGTATTTATTTAAAACCGATAACGATATACAATTAAAAAGTTATCCAATCACTCAATAGCATTTTAGGAGATACAAATGGACTTGTTTCATTGTTTGCTAATCGATGTCCTCTGGTAACAAGAAGCGTAGATGGCGGTCCAGTAATAAGAGGAGAAGATTCTCCAAAAGTCTTTCTCTTAATCTCGTCAATTTTTCTTTTGACCAGTTGATTTGGAACAACTGATAAAGGTATATTCAGTATAGCCAACGATTGCAGATATTCATCCCAACCTGTAGGTCTCTGGCTGTCAGACACATTGTGAGAAGCAGTTACTCCTCTTATCAAATCATACATGAGACCCTTTAATAACATTACCATTAAACACAAACTCCCCACGTTCAATCCATGCAGATATGTTTTTTAAGGAGGACATTTTATCCAAAATATGCTGGGCTTTATTCCTGCTGGTTTTTGGCATGGTTTTTTAAAACTCCTTCAAAAATTTTTATTTTTTTAGTTTGAAAGCCTTTTTATTTCTCAGATACTTTAAGTCGTCTCCTATTGTTAGGATAGTAGATCAGCTTAAGTCACATCCTAATGTCCGACACTCAGGATAAAAACGGAAAAAAAAACTTTGGCCCTGACATATTTTGTTTACGAGCTAATAATTAAGATGTTGCAGGCAAAACACATTTCAATTTCAATTTCAATTTTATTTATATAGCGCCAAATCACAACAACAGTTATCTCACAGCGCTTTTCATAAAAGAGCAGGTCTAGACTATACTCTGTGATGATATTTACAGAAGCCCAACAGTTCCCACCAAGAGCAAGCACTAGGCGACAGAGGCAAGGAAAAACTTCCTTTTAAGAACCATGACTCAGGGTGGGCGGCCATCTGCCTCGACCGGTTGGGGGTGAAGGAGAGAGAGAGTGAGAGAGAGAGAGAGAGAGAGAGCAGGAGAGGAATAGAGAGAAAAAGAGAGTGATGTAAGGAGAAAGAGAGGGGAGGGAGGCAGCCTACACAATATACACACAGAGGTACAGACAGTGAAGGTAATGTTGCTATAGACTAAGTGAAAAATGGTACAGATATTTATAGTAGTGTTAATGATAACAATCGTAATGTTAATGATTATAATAACAATAATAACAATAGGACTAGTAACAATAGTCGTTGCAGCAGAGGGTGTCGAGCAGGAACACGGGGGCAGCAGGTGACCCGCAACTACAGATCCAGACTCCACAGCTCCAGAGCCAGAAAACCTGCAGGAAGTGATAGGAGGAGAGAGGAGAGGGACGAGAAAACACAAGACTACCAGAAAGAGGAGAAGTTGTGTTAGTAACATGCAATAATGGGATGAGGTTGCATACAGAGGGAGAGAAAGTACATGATACACATGATCGGTCTAAGAAAGTAACACAGAAGACGACATTACAGTGAGTAAATAAATACTATTACAACATAGGTGACAACAACTAATGCCACTTACCTAGCAAAGGTTGTGATCTATAAAAAACAAACTCGTTGAAGACATTGAAAATGTGCATCCTGTAAGTAAACTCTGAACCCTCCTCTTTATGTGCGTACGCATAATACATAGCACATAAAGAGGAGAAACGGCGACTCACATGGCAGAAGGATGAAACTGTTTGAAGTGAATAGTCCTACAACTGTGTAAATATATCGAAATATTACCTCTGAGTAGTATAGGCTTAAAGCCTGAAGCCTCTCTAAATAATCAGACACTTGTTTGATTGATTCTCCCTGAAGTTCACTATAAAAAAACATAATTTAAGATAATTTGCAGCGCACAAAAAGAACCATGACTGAGGATAATAAACATAAGCGGAGATTCCGTTTCTGCAAAAGAACACCTTAAATGTTTTGGAGCACCTCAATGTTTAATCAGGAATCATATTAATTAGCCTACTTGTATGCAGTACAATTTATTCTCATAAATAAGGTGAACAGGAGGACCTAATTACATTTAAATTGATCAATGCGTCAGTCGAGCAAATTACTAGTGCATAATTTCATACTATATTGTTATCACATGTTCGCTTCCTAATCGAGCCAAACGCTGTGCGCCAACGTATGGATGTGATGCGCTGTTTGATCCGGAAAATAACACTATTTCATTGTCATTTACAAAAAGTCATAGGCTATTCCTTTTAACTCATCGCCATCGTTGTTAAGTGAGTGGATTGTATGTGTAAACATAAATACATGTTTAAACACAGATGGAATGTATTTGGTTTACTCTCTTTTCAAATGGGTGAATCCATATTAGTGCCGAGATCTCCTGCAGATCGGCTATAAAGGGCGCAGAGAGAGGGCGCCTCTTTTCCTGCTGAGAATGAGCTCATGCATTTGAAACATTTTTGTTGCCGAGAGTTTAAAACAAGAACGAAAAATAATCACGGCTGCATTTGTAAACATCATGTGAGAGCCATCTGTTTTGTGTTCTCACACATAAATCCATCCCTTTCACTAACTTTACCGTTGCTCCTCGTAACATTTAGTTCCTGATAACAACACCGCATCACATTGACTAATGTACCCTATATTACAATGATAAAGATAAAGCATCTACGCTCAACTTTCACAGCTGGCTGTCAATATCAACACCCCTATCAAAGATAAAAAACGTTGATACGTTGATCAGACGGATGTTAGGTTTTCTACATTCAAGATTCGCTCTTTCAACGCAAGCCGACAGGCGCCTGCTTTTAACAGGTTGATGGGTGCATTACTCTCTCCCTCCATGAGAAACTTCTCAGAAATCATACACAACACATTAACGAAGGATTGCTTGAAAACCTGTCTATATAATTTGGGGGACGTATCCTATTCTTGCACCCATCAAAGCTATAAAGCGGATCAACCCATAATAATATGCACATCGATTGACGTCACTTCTCCTCGAGAGCCTTATGTTTTGGTGTTCTCATGCATAATCAGTTTAAAATTGTCACACTCTGCCTTTCTGCCATGCGGTGTTTTGCACTTTTGTGTTTAGTTAGCGTTATTTTGGTCAGTTGGGTTTTGGGGGTCTGTCTTGTCTTTCGTCTAGTGTTTGGTAACCCTTGTCATGTCTGTTACCCCAGTGATCCCTCTGCATGTCTGTCCCAGTTTTCCCCTGCTCTCTCTCTCTCTCTCTCTCTCTCTCTCTCTCTCTCTCTCTCTCTCTCTCTCTCTCCCTGCCTGTGCCTCGTTAGCCTCATGTCTGTCACCTGTGTTGCTCCCGCCCTGCTCGTTAGTCCCTGTGTATATATACCTGGTGTTTCTGTCTTGTCTTTGTTGGGTCATTGTTTATTGTCACCCAGTGTTGCAGTGTGTTCTCCTGTTTCCCTGCCTGTTTCCCTGCCTGTTTCCCTGCCTGTTTCCCAGCTCGTTTTGGATTTTGATTCTCTGTTGGACAAGCTTTGTTTTAGACTTAGTCTTTCAGCCACTCAGTCTGTAAGTGTGCTCGCTTTTTGTTGCCCTTAAATAAATCTCTGAACTGCACCTGCTAGCCTTCGTGTCCTGCGTTTGGGTCCTCCAACCAGCTCAACCCTGCCTTCACCTCAAAACCGTGACAGAATGACCCGACCAAGTGTGGACCCAGCGGACCTAGCGTTTCTGGCAGAGGATATAAGGGAGTGGACCTCGACCTGCGAAAGGTTAGGTTCCTCAATCCTGGATTCTACGGACTTAAATCGCAGACTGTTTGTTTATGGCCTCATGGAGAAGACCCTGTGCAGCAAGCCAAGGCTGCCGAATCTCCCCTCCCTGGCTGAGCACTTGGTCGTCATCAGACGAATGAAGAGAGACCTGGAGCAGATCGTCTATTTGTATGAAATACAAAAGATACTTTGTAATTTCTGTTTTCTTAAATGTAAAAATGTAATGTTTTTTATTGGTAATTGTCATTCCTATGACAGTTTACTATTGAAACCATGAGTGAAGGGACTGTTTTATTTGATGGCCTTGTGACCGGACAAATATTTGACAAGCTACTGCATGCAACTCTTACAGTTTATTGTTCAACTGGTCTGTGAAAGTGTAATCATTACATTGCTAGCAAACATGTTTTGTGGATAAACTCTCAAAAACTCAAATGAATCTATTGGGTTAGACGTGTTTTGTCAAAGCAGACTTGTTGTTGCAGTACTGCTGCCCCTAAGGTGGGCATATGCTGGTCATATAATTAGAATATCATGAAAAAGTTGATTTATTTCAGTAATTCCATT